AGAGATCTGCCTGCCTCTGCCTCCCGAGTGCTGGGATTAAAGGCGTGTGCCAGCAATGCCCAGCTTGCTTTTGTGCATCTTCAGTTTTGATGAACAGGAAGATCTTGCCATCTTTCTTCTAGCATCATTGTATTGAGGTAGTTGTCTAACCAAAATTGAAACACAGGTATAGGAAAATAGAATTAATGTCTAATTATAACTTTTCAAAAATATTACTAAGCTATAACCCCCATACTATAATGTAGAGATCATAATTTTTCATTTCAACAACTTCATAGCCATATACACTTGTGGAAACATTAACCAAACTGAAAACATTTCCACCCCTTGGAATGCTATCTCTCTAATCTTGTAATGTTCCCCATCTCCCATATTGTTTTCTGTCTTTTATAAATTGGTCTTTAGAGAAAGTTTATCACTACTTAAAGTAGAAGATTTGTTCATCATAATTCGTATATACTGTCATGTGTATTGTAATTTTTTCATTTTCATTGCTTAGTTTAATTTTACTATATGACTATTTTCCAATTTATTACTGTTCTTGATTACTTGAGCTGTTTTTAGTTTTTAACTATTGGATAAGGCATCTATGAACATGATGTATGTCTTCATAAATGTGTTTTTATATCTCTTTAGTAAGCATATAGGAGTGGGAATCTCAGACTAGAATAATGCATATTAAGCACCTTTTCAAGCTCAGAGTTAAGGGCTAGGAGAAGATAGCTCAATGAACAAAATAACTGCTGCACAAACCAGAGGACCTGAGTACTCACAAAATCCCTGGTACCCACCTAAAATGTTGGGCCTGGGGCTGTGTCTAGTTTCAACACTGGTGAGTAGAGACAGCCAGGAGCTAACTGCCTGTGAGTCAGTCTTCTGAAACTATGAGCTCCACATTGAGAGACCCTGTCTCTGAAAATAAGGTCAAGTGTAACAGAGGAGACCACCTGATGTTAAGTTTCAGCCTCCACACTCACATCGTTGTGTGTACCTGCATATGTAAACATATCTCACACACATCACATACTATACACAGACTCACATGTACATACAACATATGCACAGAGAGCTGTGCTGCTTTATAACTCTGCAGCCAAGTGTGGTCTTTGGAGTTGTTCTGTATTCATAGTGTTGGATATTGCTGGTCTATTTCAGCCTTTCTTCTTCTTTTTTTTTTTTTTTTTTTTTTTTTTTTTTTTTTTTTTTTTTTTTTTTTTTTTTTTTTTTTTTTTTTTTTGTTTTGTTTTGTGAGACAGGGTTTCCCTGTGTAGCTTTGAAGCCTGTCTTGGAACTAGCTCTTGTAGACCAGACTGGTCTCGAACTCACAGAGTTCTACCTGCCTCTGCCTCGAAAGCGCTGGGATTAAAGGTGTGTTCCACCACCGCCTGACCTATCTCAGCCTTTCTAATGGTGCCATATGCTAATTTGTCAGTTGTCTTTGTTGTTCTGTTTGAAACAAGGTCCTGTGTCTCATGTAGCCCAAGAAGTCTTTAGAGTCCTATTACGGGATTCCTGTCTGGGTCCCATCACCCCTTTAGCCCTCAAAATAACTCTATTAGTTACAATATTGTTGGCCAATGTCTAGCTAGATCTTCTTATTAGCTAACTCTGTCTTGAGTATTAACCCATAACTAGTAGTATATATATTTCTCAAGGTCTTATGGAGAACGCCAGAGTCATGAATTCTTTCTCCTGGTATTATGTGGTGACCACCTACTACAGGTCCCAGAATCCTCCTTTTCTAGTCCCGCCTATCTTACTTCCCTATTGGCCTACAGTGTTAACCAATATGAGAGACATGCACAGAAGGACTAGCCTCATTATCTCCTCTTTTCTGTCTAAATAAAAAGAAAGGTTTTAACTTTAACATAGTCAGATTATATATAAGAAAACATTTATCAAGTAAGAACTATAGTTACAATATTTAGTCCACTAACTTTTAGCAAGATTTAAAGAAAATATTCTATCACGTATCCTATCATTGTTAGTCTAAAGTCTTATATGTAACTTGACTATCTGTCTTCAACTCCATCAAAGAAGGATAATATATAAACTCTAGAATTGGCGGAGACAATCTTGTTTTAGCAGTCACTTTCCTGTGGATCCTGTATGTCTATTTTATGTATAACAGCATAAAGTCAAACAATCTAGACAAGAGCAGTTTCTTGCCCAAATGGCTAATCTTGCCATATTGGAAGAAAACTCTATAACAAGTTTCTTCAATGTCTATTTTCCCTTCTGACACAGTTGGTATTGTCAGGAGCAATTGTCTCATTGTTGAGAAAAACCCTAAACCATTTTAAATGCCATATTCTGTAGGTCTTTGAAAGGTTTGAAGACTATCCATTTCAAATATATCTCTGTATATCTTGAAAACCTAACTAACTATAAGTTTTGACTATTATAGGTAACTATCGATAGGCTGTACTTAATTATACATTACATTTTTAAATGCGCTATACAAACAAAATACCGAAACAAGAGGATACGTATATATATAACAAAATTGATCTTAAATTTGTATCAATAAATGAAAATCCATTCAAAGACAAGGTATTAATTTCTATGTCATAATCCCCTTTTACCTTTAAAAAGAGATCGGTTGTGATCATTAACCATTTATAGCCAACCCCATTTAAATGAAAACAAAATTTATAAACAATATTTGGGGATTTGTTCATTCCAAACTGCTTCCTGCTTGTTGGGGGTGCCGTCCATACCATGGGGATCATGACAAAACATAGAAACCTGGCCAGGTCTTGTTTTTGTAGTCTGTAAGGCTGTATCCTCTCAGCTGTTTTAGATGTTGGATCATCTGGACCATTGTTTTAGGGGGTGTTGCTTCATCAAACCATTTTAGTCTGGAAGGAATCCATAGCTTTACATTTTCTGTGGAAACACAAGACATACACAGAAGGACTTTCCAGATCCTCCTGCCTCAGCCTCCCAGACAGCTAGGATTTATAGGCCTGCACCATATGACCTGGCAATCATATAAGTAATCAAATACTGTACAGCTTGGGATGGAATCCTCTTAGGACACAGAATGTGATTTGGATTGGTACAAAAACTAGGTTCTAATTTATACTGTGGTTCTTTTGTCAGCATGTTTGGAATGCTTTTTCATGTAAATAAATCTAGTCACCTGTGTTAATCTAAGTTATTAACCTGAAAAATCTTATAGTTAAGAATTTAACGTCTGGAGTTACCTTATCTGACATAACAGTATTTAGTATCTAGCATGGTTATTAAATAAATGAACCATATGTATTTACTTCTTTTTTTTTTTCAGTGTTTCCCTGGAGAAAGAACAGATTGATGAAAAATCTGAAACAGAAAAACTCTTAGAATACATTGAAGAAATTAGGTAATGTAAATAATAGTTTTAAACTTAACTTCCAGGCTGGAGAGGTTGTTCAGCAGCACTGGCCGCTCTTCCAGAAGGCCCAGATTCAATTCCCAGCTCTCACATGGTGGCTCATAACCATATGTAACTTCCACCCCTAGGGGAATCTTATGTGATGGCCTCTGCTGGTATTGTACACCATGAGGTACACAGGCAGATAAAACACTTACACACATTGAATAAATAAGTAATCGAAATGAAAAGTTAATAAATAAAATGGACCTTACTGGCTGGGGATATAACTTGGTTGGTAAAGCACTTGGCTGGCATTTGGGAAGCCCTGGATTCAGCAACAAAATTCTTTTGCTCATACAAAACAACTGCACCTTATTTTGGTGAACATGTTTTTCCAGTACTTAAAGAGATATTCTCTTCAAAATACTTTTTCATGCAGTTGTGCATCTGATCAAGTAGAAAAATACAAAGTTGATATTGCCCAGTTAGAAGAAGATTTGAAAGAGAAGGATCGTGAGATTTCAAGTCTTCAGCTATCTCTTGAGGAAACCCTCACATTTTCCAAGCAAATAGAAGACCTGACTGTTAAATGTCAGCTGCTTGAAAAGGAAAGAGGTACTGTGCTGTTTATGTTATTTTACTTCAATATGGCTTAGGTACTGTCTGTAAGAAATATACCCCTTAATGGCAACAACATTTTCCATTAAGTGAAGACCAGAAAGTCCATGTGCTATTTGGGAAGTTTTTTGTGCTATAATGTTTGTTTTTATTTCAACACATTATATTCTTAGATTGGAAATAAAAAGATTTATATATTAGGTGATGACTTCTACCCTGGGTAGTGTTAGTGCAAACATCTACCCTGGTTAGTGTTAGTTTGTAATTAGTGCAAACTCAAAGCTAACATATTTGTGTAGCATATATAATAAGGTAATGACTGTACTCTTACCCCGTCTTTGGAAACACTTGCTCTGTATAGTGTGCTAAAGCAGTGGGGTGAAATATTAGGTGAATGGAGCCCCTTAACATTAGTATTTAGTTCTGGAACGTCTCATGCTTTCCTTTTATAGACGATCTTGTCAACAAGGACAGAGAAAGGGCTGAAAGTCACAGTGCTGAGATACAGATTGTAACAGAGAAGCTTGTTCTAGAAAAACAAGAATATGAAAAACTGCAACAAAAAGAAATGCAAATTGAGTCACTTCTGCAACAAGAGAAGGTAGTTAACTACATTTATTTTTTAACTACTTATTTATATCATAATTTTTCATTTATGTCAGACAACCTCTGTGTGTATATTTTGAACATTTAGTCATAGATACTGGTATACATTTGTATCAAGTATACAAGAGAGATATTTATAATTATCTTTAAAAGAATGTCTAATAGGAAAAAGCAAAACAATTAGAAAAAATAGGTTATATAAAGAACATTTTGCATAATAGTAAGGGGAAAAGGCACACTAAAAAATACAGACAAAACACATGGTTGTGGGATGGAAGTAGATAATTCTAACACAACATCCTGATTGTAAACATGAACAGAGGATCTCCCTATAGTAATCAGTGGAATAAAGCACTTCGTTAACAAGGAATCTAGAAACTAAACCATTTCACTGTGATACTTTGGTAAAGGCTGAATCATAGGAATGTGCATGCACTAATGTGATAAATAGACAATGAAAGGGGTTAATATACATTGAAAGTAGGTTAATATACATTGAAAGTAGGTTAATATACATTGACCTGGAAAGAATTCAACTTTTTTGTTCTTTCTCTCTTTCTTTTTTTGTCTTTCAAGACAGGATTTCTCTTTGTAGACCAGGCTGGCCTCAAACTCACAGAGATTGGCCTGCCTCTGCTTCACAAGTGCTGGGATTAAAGGCATGTGCCACCACCACCCGGCGATTTTAAAATATTTTTAAATACACAGAATATATTGCATAGCTTCTCCAAAGGTATGCATGTATGAAAATATATGGGCAATATGTACTCTAAACCAAAACTTATCTTTGGAAGGGAAAAACAGATTGAGATAGAACTACTGAAAACTGATACTTCACTTAAAATCTAGAATTTTTTTCTTGATAATGTTTTACAGAACTTTGAAATGTGTATCCTATAACTTAAATATTTTATGTAACAGTGAGATCATAGTATGCTTTTTATCATATCTAAATGGAGCAGATTGAAGTATATATAAGCTAATTGTAAAGCCAGATATAAAGAAAGTAGTGTGGTTTAACACTAAAAAATCTAGATTTTTTTATTTTTTAAATTGATTTATTATGTATAGTGTTCTACATGCATGTATGCCTACAGGCCAGAAGAGGGCACCAGATCTCATTACAGATGGTTGTGAGCCATCATGTGGTTGCTGGGAATTGAACTCAGGACCTCTGGAAGAGCAGCCAGTGCTTTTAACCACTGAGCTATCTCTCCAGTCCGAAATTACATTTTCTACATTGTTAAATTATATAACATGGAGAAAGTGAATATGGTATGTATGTTTTTGTGTTTCCTTTAAACTTTCTAATTTAGTTGCTATACTTTAATTTAGTTGCTATACTTCATTATCTGTATTGCATCTGTTGTCTCCAAGAAAGGTCATGAGCCACATTTAATTATCTTGTGCTTACCTGTCTGAATGCAGGAATTGTCTGCTAGTCTTCAGCAGCAGCTCTCCTCTTTTCAAGAGGAAATGACCTCAGAAAAGAATGTCTTTAGAGAAGAGCTAAAGCTTGCCCTGGAGGAGTTGGATGCTGTACAGCAGAAGGAGGAACAGAGTGAAAAGCTGGTTAAACAGCTGGAAGAAGAGACAAAGGCAACCGCTGAACAACTGAAGCGGCTAGATGAACTGCTGAGAGAGTTCGTATTAATGGGGTCTTGTTTATGTGGGACTTGAAGTATTTTCTAGCATGTTTCCTTAGAATTCTCATGGAGGTTGGAATTATCTTTCAAGGTGAGGAAGACATAATAAGAGTATACAAATGCTCACACACGTGCACTACACTTGTATATCTAAGCAGGCATGGCAGTCAAAGTAAGACTAGCCTAGCACCAATTTACTCCCAGGACCCAAGAGGTTAAGCTGAAGGATGAGGAGTTTAAGGTTAGCCTGAATTGCACATTGAGTTCAAGGTATTGGGCTATAATAGTGAAACTTTGTCTCAAAAAAAAAAACAGAACAAAAGGAAGCCCTTTTTCTAAAGCCAAAAGCTTTGTGTGTGTCTTTGCTACATTTTCTAAAAATCTTTGGACATCAGCATAAAAACAATTTGTATTGTATTTGAAAACATCTAAGCCTTTTAAAATTTTAAGTATCTTTTTTGAGAGACTATGAATACTTCATTGATGGACAAGCACCCATCACTGCATGCATGTGGGGATCAGAAGACAACTTTAGGAGTTGCTTCTCTTCCCACCATGTGGGGTCCTTAGGATGTAACTCAGATCACCAAGTGCCCTTTCATCCTCATGTAGCAATCAGAAAACAAAAAGGTTGCCAGGTATAGTGGCTCACTCATATAATCCAAGCACTTCAGAGCCTGAGGCAAGAAGACTGCAGTGAGCTTAAGGCCAGCCTGTGTTGTAGAATGGAATGCTGTCTCAAAGAAAATAAAGCAATTAGAATTGGCTGGTATGCATTCAAAAACAACATTCTTGTTAAAAAGAAAACTAATGTCTCACAGTTTTAACTTTTTTTTATTTAAATTTTTATTTAATTTTTACAAATTATAATTTCACATGTCAATCCTCCCTTCACGTGGGATGGTCTCTCAAAGTCCCTCCCCCCCCCCACGCATTCATTTATTTAGCTCATAAATAAAGTCATGCAAAATTATGATACACAATACAGTATGCTTTTTGTTTTTTGCTTTTTGCTTTTTAAATGGAATGTGCTGGATGTCTCTACAATTTTGTTAAAATGACTGCAGAACCTGGAAAAGCTAGTGCTGCTATTGATGTATAACATAT